TGACGGTGGCGACGGGTAGGACGGGGTGGTGGATCCCTGATGCGGCGACGGGTATGCCGGCGTGCCGGAGCCCTTGGGAGGCGAGTGGGACGACGGCGACGGGTAGGACGGGCTGGAAGGTTTGCCACCACCGGGCATGGGAGTAGCAGGAGAGTACGCCGGGAACTGGCATTGCGCCTTACTGCAGTCGAACGGGTGGGAGGCCGCGGCGGCGCACTGCGCCGGCGGCCGCTGCGCGGGCGCGCCGGGGATGCAGTTCCACGCGCCGTCGGCGGTGGCCTGCGCGCAGCCGGGGCGCGAGGTGATGAAGTTGTCGGTGTAGGTGAAGTTCTTGAGCCCGGCGAGGCCGCAGACGGCGGCCGGCACGGCGCCCTCGAAGAGGTTCCCGGCGACGTCGAGCTCCTCGACGGCCGCCATCCCGCCAATGGCCGCGGGGAGGGCCCCCTGGAGCCGGTTGCCGCTGACGTCGAACACCGTCACCTTCTTGAGCAGGCCGACCTGCGGCGGGACGCAGCCGGTGAGCAGGTCGTCGATGAGCACGATCTCGTTGAGCGTCTCCGCCATCTTCCCGATGGAGGGCGGGATGCATCCGCCGAGCCGGTTGTGCGCGAGCACGACGACGGAGGCCGGCGAGTTGCCGAGGTTGGCGGGGATGGGGTTCCGCAGGCGGTTGGAGTTGAGGAAGATGGCGTCGAGCGGGCGGTCGAAGAGCGCGGACGGGATGGTGCCCTCGAAGTCGTTGAACCGGAGGTCGAGGTACTTCAAGGACGGCAGCGCGAGCACCACCTCCGGGAAGGCGCCGACGAAGCGGTTGTTGCTGAGGTCGAGCTCGTGGAGCAGGCGCAGGCGGCGGAAGGTGTCGGGCACCACCCCGCAGAAGCGGTTGGAGTTGAGGTGGAGCAGCGCCAGGTCCGGGAGCCCCAGCGGGAGGGAGGCGGGCAGGTAGCCGGCGATGTCGGCGTGGTTGAGGTCGATCCCGGCGACGGTCACCGCGCCGTAGGCAGACGGGGCGGGCGCGCAGTAGACGCCGTTGTAGCGGCAGACGTCGGGGCCGAGCCAGTTGGCGGTGAAGTTGGCCGGGTCGGAGAAGATGGCCGTCTGCTTCCAGGCCTGGAGGGCCGCGTAGGCGGCCCGCAGGCGCGGGTTCGGGAACGGCCAGCTCGCCGGCGCGTCGAAGCGGGTGGCGAGCGACGCCGCGTACTGCTCCGGCACGTTGCCCTCCTGCTGCGCGCTCGCTGCGGTGACCGCGGTGACAAGCAGGAGCGCGAGCAGCGGCGGCATGCCGCGCCGGATCATGGTTGCGTTGAGCTGTGATCTAGGAAGAATGGAGAATGTAGCTGGATGCAAGCAAGGGAGGAGTGCGAGGGAGGGAGGGGGAGAGCTGAGGCTGAGGGAAGTCGGGATCACGGAGAGATCAAGTGGGGGAGGGGAGCGTGGTGATGAGGTGTGAGGGCAGTGGCATTCAGGGCGGGTCACATGGGGCGAGAGGGAGGGGTCACATGGGACGAACGGGAGAGCAGCGCTATGTATGATGCTGCGACGACGCGGCTCGTGGACGACGGCTGGCTGGCGCGGCGTCGGTCCGTCGGCGAGGAAGGAAAGGTGAGTGGCGTTTCAACGTGTGGGGCTCCGCGGATTTTCCTTCACCCTCCTTTCCATTTTTCTTTCGCATGGGGATAGATAGATTGCAGATGGGCCATGCGATGGCCAAGTTCGAATTCATGATGCCAGTGATTTTTCGCCGGACGATTCGACCTATATAAATTCATTTAGAAGAGCTTCACAGCAAACGTCTCGGGGCTACGCCGTGATCCAGGCATTTTACACGCGAGTCGACGGGCCAGGTTGGCGCCAAGAATCGTCCCAACGAGTAAATTCCAGCGTTTCAAATGGGGTTTGTTAGCCATTAGTTTAACTCAGTCACCAGTGATCACACCACATGCGTTACCAGTACTAATTTAGCTCAATAAACCTAGAGTGCT